GGTCTGTGCACAGTTGCAGCAAACGGTCCCCGTTATCTGTCCGGCGACCAACAAGTCCCCATCGGCCACCTAGACGACTCTCTTCTGTGCCTAGACGCCCGACCTGTGCATTCAAGTCTCCGGCTAGAACTACAATATCTGTCGAACGCGCTTTCTGGAGAAGAACTGTTAACTGATGGTAAAACTCATCCTTGATTGCATCCGGGCTGCAATCTGTCGGGGCATAGGCGGAGATGACGAGAAGACACCGTTTCTCACTCCGATTTCTTCTCACTTTGATGGAACTTTCTAATCTAACAGCACATAACCGACTGTTAATGGGGATCCAATCGATTAGTGCTGCCTCAGCTCTAGCGCTTAGTGCGACACCAACGCCAGCAAGACCAGACGAAGATGCCACAGGGTCCCCGGATAAGCGCACGTGGAACAAGCTTTTCGAGGCGACAGATGGAGAGCGGATTTGTAGTACTTCACTAGAGTCTTGAATACGGGTCTCGGATAGACAACAAACGTCAACATTAAGACCTTCCAAAGACATAGCCAGCCCTATCTGTTGTCTGATCTGCATTAGTGTGCGAACGTTGAAGGAAGCCAGCTTGAACGGCGTACGTGGTTTCAGAAAGACTGCCTCAGTATTCATAATCGGTGGAAGCATTCACTTTCAACCAGACAGTGACTGGAGATCGTTTAGATAGGACAGATTTTCCACCAAGAGCGAGCTGCTGCATAAGTTGAAGAGTAAGGTTACACAAATTGGGGATAAAAGGGGGTGAATTAGTGATATGGTAAGTAATAATAATAATAATAATAATAATAATAATAATAATAATAATAAAGGTAATAATAATAATAATGTTAATTGTCTTGCTTTTAGTATGACCAGGGATATCGTCAATAGAGTTCATAATTTCATTCATTTGTTTGTGTGTGGGCTGTGATACTGCCCGGGTGCCCAAACCGAAGCAGGTGGTTTTCTTAGGGGACCACACCCCGAGCCTTTGACCTAAAGGTCTGATCCACAAGGCAGTGGAGCATCGTGAGGAGATGCAGTCCCATGGTTGCCGTTGACCAACAGCAGGTTCTTCCGCCATTCGTTCCATCAGGATACTGGAGCCCATGTGCACCATTGGTTTGGAATCAGGGTTTTCCAACTCCCCTAGGTGGACCCTCCGTGTCTACCAATCCGGTTATAGCGCCGGACATTCGCTTTTCGTCCTCTCACTTTCGTAAACAACACCTACCAATATGGCTCAGTCCACTTGTCAGTGGCTTCATGGATTTGTGCCACGTTTTGGTCTGGTCGCCCCTAGCTTTCTTCCAACTTACTCCTACACCATAAAGCATTGCACGTCGGTGATTGGGCATACGTAACGTGTCCCAGTCATCTGATCTGGTAAAGTTTCAATACTTCGTCAATTGATTCGCCATCCTTACCTAGTACCCATTTCCTAACAATTACATTACTTACCCGGTGGTCCCAGGTAAGTTGAGGCTGTTAACTATACCCCAATTAAAAAACGCCCACCAGAGAAAAACATTAAAACTAATTGATGTGTGGGCGAAAATGATAATGATTGGTTGTCTCGATGAGTCAGACATCAGATAGGATGACAGGTGTTATATGTGTTATATATATTCCCCTATCCTTAATATGTATTGACTGTTTCTTGTTGATGGATACTTATTGATTGACTGTTCTTTGTGTCGGATTTTGGTGTGAAATGTATTGACGTTATAGTCAGGCTAATCTCGTGTTCTTGATCTGAGTTGTGTTGAAGTCCTGTAGAATAGACACTGGGTGGGAATCTAGTGTAGATTTCGTCTAAGATAAATTAACGTCCCACATACGTGTAAGAAGTAAAAGGACTGTTATAACCAGCATCCTCTCTTTTACGTTTATAACACTAATTAAGCTCTGTCCTGGGAGTTGAAGGACTTCCATTTGGTATAATTAGGCAGAGTGACCAGTCACGAGTAAAGACAAACTAATACTAAGACTTAAGAGCAGTGGGACGGATCGGTAAAACAATTGGACAGACCAGCCTCCCTAAACTCACTGGACATCGAAATAGCACACACAGACCTTCCTACACATGATAACTCCCTAACAATAGAAATCAGCAAGGTTATCAAACGAATTAAGTGTGGGAAAACAACAGGATTAGATGCCATACCAGCTGAAGCTAAATACAGAGGTAACTGCAAAGATGTATGCTCCTTTAAGAAAGGTCTGGAAATAAGAACAAGTAAAAAAACTGGAAAGAGGGATATCTCATCAAGATATCGAAGAAAAGAGATCTCAGTAAGTGTGAAACTACAGAAGAACCATAATACTGTCAGAACCAGGCAGTTTTTAACAGGGCGTCGCTGAACTAGATGAAGGATACAGTACACATCTGACCTTGCGATCAACAAGCTTTCTTTCATAAGGATAGATCATGTGCAGACAAAATCACGACACAGGATGATTGATGAACAATCAACTGGAAGGAACTCACTACTAAGCATAAATCTCCTTGATTATGACAGAGTATTTGACAGTGTGGGTCGAAAAAGGTTGTGGAATCTTCCTCAATATTATGGAGCACTCGGAAAGATCGTCACTACTATATGGAACTCTTAAGGACTGACCTGCAAGGTCATGCATAGGGGGTAGTTCACAGATGGATTTCAAATAAATACTGATGTCAGATAGAACTACACATTCTCACCTTTACTCTTGTTGTTGACTGGATTATGAAGACTTCCATATCTCAGAAGTATGGAATACTTTGGACATTAGGGACGAAGCTGAACGATTAGGAATCTGCAGATGACCTATCCCTTTCTATTCTATACACAGTAAGAAACACAGACAAATAATATCGGTGTAGCAGTGACCTCCATGGCAGTCAGCTTTAGCATTCCTAAAGGAAAAAGCAAGGTCTTGAAACCAAGACAGTGAGCACCAACTAAATCACACTTGGTTGAGAAGCTCTGGAAAAGGTGGAAACCTTTAAGCACTCAGGGAGCATCATTGATAAACAAACAAGACCTGATGCAAGTACTGTTAGCGGGACATAGATTGAACTGAAGCATGTTCCATGCACGACTGCGTCGGCGGCTAATTCTCATCCAATCGGCGATAATCGATACTTGGAGAACACTCTGGAATCTTCTTATGTAAAAACTATAAGTATACTAACGTATCTCTTATTGTGATGCTTACTTCCATCTACCCCTGTTATTTGGAATATAATTTCTCTCATGTTCAACCGTGTTCTGGTTTGGGGACTTGTCGAGTGAATTGGTGCCCAAGAATCCTAAGCAATAGGAATAGCTGAGTCGTAATTTGAGAAACTATAACAAGTACTGAGGAATAAATTGACGAAGCAAGGGTAACATTTCTACAATCAAAGAATATCTGGAACTCACTCAAGAACAAAATCAGAATTTTTAATACTAATGTGGAAACAGTCCTATTGTACCGAGCTGAAACCTGAGCGATTACCACCACCATCACCAAGAGAGTACAAGTATTCATAAACAACTGTCTAAGCAAGATTCTATGAATTCATCGACCATAGTCCAGAAGCAACAACCCACTGACAGGGAATAAGCTGACTGTCAGCTGAGAAAAAGATGCTAGTGATGGATAAGATACACTGAAGAAAACACCAAAGTGCATCCCAGGGCAAGCCTTAACTTGAAATCTTCAGGACAAAAAGAAAGGAGATGGAGAATTGGAGGTAGATATCGAGAGTATGAACAGCACTTGGGAATAACTGGAAAGAAGAGCCCAGGACAAAGTGGGTTGGAGATTCCTGGTTCAGGGCTTACGTCTCAAGAGGGATAACAGGCCTAAGTGTAAACTGCAAAGGCAATTACGAAAATACTTAAATTTTGTCAATAATGCTGAGATCCTATCACAAACAATAATGGTTTTTTCATTTCATCTAATTCGATTTTCCCTATGCCCTTTGCCTTTTTCGGACTGGTTGTTATTGGTTTCAGTATGTATGTATGTATGTATGTATGCATGCTTAAATGTCATATTTTTTTACTATATATGTAGGGTTGTACCAATTCGTTTTGTACTGCCTGTCCAACCTCGAATATCGAATTCCCTACAATTCATCTTCATCCTGTGTTAGACGTCGTGTTGATTTGTGTAAATTGCGGTTGTCGATTATGAAGAGAACCAATCGTATTAGAGTAGCTCAGCCATTGTCTCTAGATCCGTGGTTGTTGTAGGTCCATACTTAACCCTAATAACGAGACACAAGATAAACATTTAAATATAGACGTGTATATTTATCTACCTTCGTCATTCAAAGCAGACAAAGCCACAAGTCGAAATACCAATTTTGAAAACTACTTCAAATTGATTTACCTATTAGTGAGTGGATAGTGCACAAGCACCTCTGTCAAAGAACCTTGAAGTCAATATTTTGAGATGTCACAATAACCATTTAGCCTCTATAAACAGTACACAACCAAATACATATCACAGAAACATTTAATCTGGGAAAATCACTTTCCTAGAAAATGATCAAAGCGACAGTCATTCAAGAGAGAGTGAAGACCTAGATTTACTGAAAAGATAGCTACATTATCTAACTTCAAATTTACGAAGAACATTGAAAATAACGCCGTTACTGGGACCCGCAAACTGATTGAATGTTTACTGCTAGTTTAAAAGGAAAGAAGTCAGGAATATCAGGTGTCATAGGCACATGAATAGAAGAAAATAGATTATTCAAATCAAACACCAGGTAAATATGGCATGTCTAGTGAAAATAAGATATATGTAAACCAAATACACTTTTACTTCTGTTGTGTATTTTCAGAATTCGTTGGTCGAAAACAATTAACGATGTTTAGTTGAACACAAGAATTGAGTAGTCAGCTTCACACACACTCAGTGTTTCTACCAATAACACTCAACTAAAGAATTTTGTTCCTGAGGCATTATGCGGTGCAAACATAAACAAGTTAATGTGTGAAATATCTTAACTAACCTGGTGTATCAAAGATGTTAAACAGATACGACTTTTCTTGCATGCTGCGCAGCACCAAGGAAACTGGAGTAGATTTTATACTCAGTCCTCTTTCTACCTCCATGTGCAAGAAATCAGTATACCTGAGCTGTAAATTACAATTACAAATTTGTGTGTAAATAAGTATACTAAACGAAGAATAGATAAAATATTTTTATTAATAATTAACTGGTAATTTAAATTAACGCCATGGAATAGTTGATTAGGTTGAACTTCTGTTAATTATGTCAGCGGTAATATTAAAGTACTAAAGTTCAAAACAATTAGTGAATCTTGGTCATTTAAATCAGGCAAAAATGCTTGTACAGTGAGATGAATTCACTGTACTTCATTGCTTTTTCTTTAGCCACACACATGCTGACAATAATAAGCTGTTAGAGAAAAACAAACGTGAATTATCAAATGAGAAATAAATATTGAGATGGAGAATAACAGAAATGTTGGTGCCGAACTGGAACTGAACAATAGAGGTAGTTTATGAAAATATGACTGGACTATCTACAGTGACGTGTCAACACTATACACAAACTGTATTAGTGCCGCAGACTTGACTTGCATTACACATCACAAGTCACTAGCAACTGAAAAAACGATCACTAGCTTATAGTTATGTTATAAAAAGATTATACATGACTACAACTTAGTATGATGATAATCTAAGTTACTGAATGTTGATCTTGTTTCATATATGTCTTCATTTTTTAGTTTTGACACTCTTTTTCGTCCTATTGGAAACTGTGGCGACGGGTAGAAATGTAATTTCATGAGATGATTTGCACTGACTTGTCAGTTTGAAATTAGTCATCTCTCGTAAAGTCTGCACTTAGCTAATCACCGATAGTACAAGGATTTCATTGAAACTATTAGTCAAAAACGATATATTTATATTAAGTACTTACATTTTTGTCTTCTTTCGCTTCAATATCAGGGTGAGTAAGTTCTATCAAACAGTCCATAAAGGAAGTCTGTAAAGTTCTAATTCAAGAAAAATTTCGGACATACTTTGCCATGATGCAAATGTCCACAAAGAACAACGTTGCGAATCAATTCCGGACAATCCATAAGGTCAGCCAAGAATTCAGGGTCGTACGTTGTTGTTGGAATCGATGCTTCCGTGTAAGCAAACTTTTTGCGTCGAACTGGTTCTATTAATGGTTGTGTCAACGGCTGAGCATCTTCTTCCTGTACTAAGGTTTCAACCTCGGGACCATAAACTTCTAGTGCACTTGGATAATACTTTTTATCCTCATGAAGAATAACCTGAAACCAGAATTTTGCACGAGATGTATAAATGAAGTTGTTGTGAATTAAGATCCTAGAAAAAACTAGACTTTATTAGATGGGCTTATAGAATACGAAAGGACACTAAATACGAGTTACTCAATAAAAAAGCAGATGGATATGCAAAACCTATATACAATTTGACCTCTACTTGGGAGAACCCTATTGTCTAAGATATTATTAATTTGCAAGTACTATAATTCAATCGACGTAGGGTTTGGATGACATAATTGTTTATATACACTGACAAGTTAGAGAAAACAGTGAAGCGATACTACTAGCTGCACAAAAAAACAATGAGTGAATATATTTAGTTACGCGGACAAAAGCATCAGCTTGTACTATTCTTTGATAAAGAAACCAAAAGTTTTGGCCATATAAAATCTACTTGCTGTCTAAATACATGAACGTGAACCCTAGATAGATTTCGGTAAGGGAATCTATCTTACGCTAGTCCGCTCAACTTTTAGGTAGTTTATGATTTCATTTTATTGCTTACCATTAACTAAATCAGTAAGTTGTCTCTAATGTAAGTTTTCACTTTTCTAAAGTTACAGACCACTTAGTGGCTACATCCCGAACTGTCGTTTGGCTGATACAACTATTTGGAACTTATGTTGTCTGAACTCACTTCTAATGTTTCATGTGTATTTACTAGCTAATACTATTACACTTATCCAGGATATGTTGGTATTGTTGTTGTACTGAGCACAAGTAGAAGCAACACTAATCAAATGACTTCTGAATTAAAGTTACCTCTACGTTCTTAAATTAAAGTATGGAAACTAAATTTTCCCCTGCTCCCTAGTGGTTTAATGACGCCCATTTAGGATGGAAGAAAGGATGAGCCCTATTTCCAACTGATCGATCGTAGACAAGCACACTTGCGAAGTAAAGTGATGCTACGTACGTGCTAGAATGAAGACAACAGGAGTTTACTTACAAAGCTGCTTCAGTGGCCAATGAGGACTTTTCGTTTATAGAGTTGGACAGTAAAGTTTACCCTCCTCAACCTAGTGTATTTTTTCAACTGTTTCTCCGGAAGATCCTGGATACAATAATGTGCGTTTTCCATACTACTTACAGAATTCAATAAGGGAATATAAAACAATGTGGCCAAAACGCAACATCTAGGGAACTACGAGAAAACCTTACTTTATCAAATACCAAACACACACTCCATTCATATCCTTCTTGTATATATTCCCGTATAATGAGACCCCAATGCATTAGAATCCATGCATGCAAACCGAAATATCTACCACACGAACCATGACAAACAGGTTATAAGAACTAGTCTAATCAGAAAACTCACTCGTGAACATGTTGCTAACCAACAGTTGTAAGGATTTTCTCAAAAACAATTCATCTAATTCTAGAAAATCTGTTCATTTATTTTACGTATATATGTAAGCGACTATCGACTGTTCATTTTGTGATGTAAGAAAAACTTGTTCAAATACTGTGCCAAGACTTATATTGTACTAAGCAAACAATATTGAATAAAGTCATGAATCAATAGCTAATACTAAAGAAGCACCGGCTGAAACCCCAGATAGCCCGAAGTTGTCCAGAATCTCTTAAACCACCAAGAAATTCTGATTTGTCGAAACAATCTGTAGAGTTTATTGGAACTGCCATATATATATATATATATATATATATATATACGTAATCCTGAACAGAGTACTTCACGCTAACGCTGGAACAAAATAATGAGGTTGTTTTAAGATCCCTTCAAGGTTTATGACATCATATTTGAAAAACTAAGCGTACATCCCACTGGATTGAAGCTTCTTTTGAATATATGCCTGCGTAGTGAATGTGACACTTATCAGTATATCAGTGTCCGAAATGTTAACTGTATTTATACACAACGTCCGGCTTCATCCATTTATGCTTCATCGTTCTGACAAGCAGAACAGACCCATAATTTACTGACTGGTGTCATAACATTTTAGAGCTTGACGTAACTAACTTACAGCCAAACTTTCTTCTTGTACATCATTTGTTTCGATGTGATTAACAGCATCCTGAGCCATATCTTCCTCCTCGGCACCTTCATCATCAACACTATTTACATCGTCCTCCACCTCTTCGTCAGACAAAAGATCAGGCCCGATGTAATTCCCGAATTCATCATATAAATCCGTATCCATCTTTAAGATCAAACAAGATAATGAATTTGATGATTGTGTCAACTAAAGTGCAGACTTCTAAAATAAAGGTAAAAGGAAACTAAAGTAACCAATCATGGATAGAATGAAACCCGAAACAGCTGAAAAAAGCAAGAATATGAAGTTCAATTCACTGGAACATCGAAATCTAGAAGTACCAGTATCAGAAAAGCCTACTCGTATTTGTCGTAAACTACTGAATAACTGTCCCAACCAGAGGACCAAACCTATGAAGTACTAATTCCATGTTACAATTACAGTTGCGAGTAATGGGTGATGAGTGGTAGGAAATGGTTGGGCAGTAAGGGTTGATGCTGAAAATAAAATCGAAAGACATGCCTAGCTGTTTTGTTGATGAACTTCGCATTTTCGTACAGAAATCATATTTAGTACCAACAACATCCGGTTGTTCTGTGACACAAAGTAAATGCATTGAGTACACTAAAAGCTAGATGGCTCTTACTCCATAGCCCCCAAATACCCTGGTACGGCCGAGAGTGGAGTTTTATTTTTTATTTTTTTGAACAAACATTGGTACAAGTGGGTGTCCAAAACATGCTCCATACGACAACAGTGAGGCCAGTAGCAGTTATCATTGATATATGTGAGGGCTGTGATACTTCCCGGGTGCCCAAACAGAAGCAGACGGTTTCCCTAGGGGGGCCACACCCGGAGCCTTTGGCCTAAAGGTATAATCCACAAGATAGTGGAGCAACGTAAAGAGGTGCAGCCGATGGCCAACGATTGGTTCATACGCCATTTGTTCCTTGAGCATCCTGGAGCCCATGTGCACCAAGGGTTTTCCAACCCCCTGATGGACCCTCCGTATTCATCAATTCGGTTAGAGCGCCAAACATTCGCTTTTCGTCCTCTCAATTTCGTCAATAACACTCCAATCGCGAGAAGGCAGTTAGTAGGACTTGTGGATTATACCTTTAGGTCAAAGGCTCCGGGTGTGGCCCCCTGGGGAAACCACCTGTTTCGGTTTGAGCACCAGGGAATTATCGCAGCCCTCACACAAATCGAACGATTTATGTGGCGCATATCTACTTGGTGCCTCTTTGTACTAATGTTTGTGTTTTCATAAATCAATAAAATAAGACTATCATTTTGCAATAAACATGGGATTTGACACGTACAGATAGGTTCAAGTTAGCACATTTCACATAAAGATAGGCTAAAACTAAAATAATGATGATAATAATGACAAATGAGATTGTGAGTTGAACACAGGATATAGTTAAGGAACAACAAATTAGTTCGGCAAGTACATATAAAGTATATTTCGGATCTGGAGGGTAACAGAAAGGATATGTACTGTCCATGTTTTTTAGTAGCTGAATTGGCCATACAACAGGGCAAAACAAATTATCGGAGGATTTCTACTTTCTTGACTTGTTAAGTCATTATTATGATTGGATAGGAATGTGAATCGTTAATACTAATGATACGTATTTCCTATATACTGTTTTATGCACTTGATGATGTTGAAAGGTTCAAGTAGCTTGCCAAGACCAAGATAGGTGACAAAGGCCTTCAATATACAGCTTATTGGATAAATTTTATGTGAACCACCCACTGAACCACAGCCACTAAATAGACGGACTCAAAGTTACCATTTACTAAGAATGACAAGTGACGGGAATGGAACGATTTTTCTGTTCAATTGGTAGCTGGTGACGGTTGGAGTAGTGGATGTTTGAATGTTATCTCTATTTGTTTTGTACTGAGCGACAGTTGGAATTGGTGTGGTATTACACTCCTCGATAAGATGCGTATGAATTAGCTTCCAACTAGCTGCAACTGGCCAGACATAGGTATACATTCAACCAACCAGTAATTTTGAATCAAAGGTCGTTTTCATCTTACTGTGTTGCCAATGCTACAATCCCAAGTGACTTTAGTAACGTTATAGCCATATTACAATACAGGACAATATTGTATGGAGAGCAAAATATATGTTCATATCACTGCCAATACCTGAAGTCGCGGAAAGAACGCCTTAGTAAAACTACTCATTAGATATTTCGGGAGCTAAGTATTAATTTCTGAAACATTTACAACCTATTATACAAGTTGTTATTATTTCAGTTCATCTTAGCTTGGGATCCCATCAGTTTAAACTGTGATACATCCTGGTCCTATAAGCTTCAATTAAAAGTTAGTGACAACAAACACTAGACCACCAAAACTTTACGGACTCACACCAAAAACACTAACAAGGGTAACGCAAAATCCACAAACTTGCCAGAATGTTGTACGCGGCAATACAAACAAATAGTTCAAAATGTCCAATAACTAAATTGAAGAAACTAATCTCTTATTCATAATTATCTCAGCAGTTCTTTAGAAGCTATATTTTTACAGTGTCGATAACCGCAGTCGTTATTCAATACTTGTTTAGCTATACAAATGATCGGAGTTCAAATGGTTAAAGACGGAATAGAAGAAGCTTTCGCTTAACGGGCTTCCGTGTCTGGTAGCAGTGGATCACCAATACTAGTCCAGGTAGATGACGTCAACCTTCCCCTTGCGATCAAGGATGGTTGTCCATCTATCCACCGCAGTCAGCAGGTTGGTCATACAAGAATGACCTTTTGTGAAACCATGCTGTTGAGGCGAGAAGAACTTTGAGGATGATAAGTATTCTAGTATACCGTCGTATACTAGGGATTCCATAATTTTGGAAGGTATGGAGATAAGAGCCACTGGTCGGTAGCTTGATGGTTCACTGCGTCGTCCTCCTTTGAAAATTGGTGTGATGTGGGCCAGCTTACATATTTCCGGTAGTTTGCCTCTGCTTAGCGAGTGTGCAAACATCACGCTAAGTGGTGTCGCCAGGATTGAAGCTGCTTCCCTCAATACAGCGGAATGAACCATATCCGGACCAGGAGAAGTGTCTTTTCTTAGGTGCTGCAGTTTACGGAGCACCAGGTCAGCACTCAGGTCCACTTCGGAAAGTCCTGTAGAGGTGCAGGTCAAGCTTTCGTCAGTATGGTTGATGTGGGTCAGCTGGATTGTCCGGGAGTATTGTTCAGCCAAAAGGTTAGCGGCATCACTGTCGTTATTGGTCGGGCCATTAGGACCAAGCAGTTGGGAAACTCCAGTTTTGCCTTGTCGAAGAGAAGCTGCGTAACGGAATAAGCTCTTCGGATTGGAGACAAATTTATTCATAAGCTTGGTCTGGGACTGAAGCCTGTCTTCTCTTATTGCCTTTGTGCATATGTTCCCTATATTTTTGTATTGCCTGTACGCGCCGTTGTTATCAGTTCGTTTATATTCAGCCCAACAGTGCCTTTTGCGGCTTAGCAAACGACGGGTGTGGTTCTTGATGATTGGGGGTTGCTTGTAGCTTTTTGGGACCATTTTAGGAACTGAATACTCAGTAGCACATAAGATCGTGTGCAGTAAAAAATCCCAATGATCAACCACTTCAAGTTGAGGGTGAACATCCCAATCCACCTGTTGTAGATAGTCCTGTAAAGCTAACACATTCAACCGTTTGAAGTTCCAGCGCTTGTTGCTAGTAGGATATCGTAGCTCCGTTTTGCTGACAAAGCTGAATGATAAGACGGCGTGATCACTTTTCCCCAGGGGAGCCAGGATTGAGAGGTCGTCAACTAGGATTTCTTCATTTGTGAATACCCAGTCTAAGCGTCTGACTGTTTCTCCAACAGGTTGCCGACTTCACATTTTCGAACAATCCCAGGTCGCCGATAAGGTTGAAGAACAGAGCTTCAGTAGAGTTGGCACCACCAATGTATGTATGTTCCACGAAGTTGATTCTAGGGAGATTGAAGTCCCCTAGAATCAGGATATGAGAGAATCCGAGACGCGTAAAGCGAGTTAATCCTTCCAGCAGACGTTTGTCATATTCGATGTCGGCAGTGGGCTTCCTGTGAATGACCCCAACTAGACACGTCGAGGTTGTAGACAATCTTACTGAGCACCATACTGACTCATCAAGATTGAGAAACTCTTGGTTGTGAAGTTGGTGCGCATCCAGGCATGACCGTATGTGTAGTGCTACCCCACCCCCCATTCCTGTTTTTCTGTCGTTGCGAAATAAAGACATCCCAGTTATTGCTAACTCCTGGTCCGTAAACTGAGACGTTATCCAAGTTTCGGATATTCCTATCAGATGGGCATCATTAGCGTTGCTAAGTTCACGTAGCTCATCCACTTTGTTTGGCAAGCTCGCGGCATTCGTGTATAGGCAGTTTATGCTTTCAATTTGGAACACGTGAGCTACTTCCTGTTTGTCTATATGAGCCGTGCGTGAGTGGACAGGTAGCCTACCTATACGACGTTTACCGAGTTGGTAGTCCCTGTCCTTTACACGTTTTTTTATGATCAAGACAGTCCACGAGTGGAATTGTCAGCTCCAGCTTTCGTTTGTGCTTGATCCTGCTGTCGTGGGGCCTATCCGGATGCATATGCATGCCAGTTGGCAAGCGACGTCTATTGGCACGAAATGCTTCCAGAGTTGCAGCCGCCATGTGGGAGGAGGGGAAGGTTATCTTCAACAGCCGGGGCCTAGAGTCTCCTTCTCTCTTGGCTAGTCGCATTACCTGTTAGGTCAATATGTTCTTAAGTTTTAAGGAGTGCTTAATGAATATCCATTCCCGAATATCAGAGTTTGCTTGAGTTGGGTCCGTGTTTTCCGTCACACCATGCACAATGATATTTCGTCCACGGAAAAACGCCTCGTGAGATTCCTTAGGGATCTTTTGCATGAATTTTTCATCACCGAACGTATAGCTCAGAATAGATTCTTTATATCGGAAATGGTACTTTTGTTGCGTAAGAACACAGCAAAAGTTTGAGAAATGTAAATCACGTTAGGACTAAACTTCCCGTTCGAAAAGAGTAATGTACATTTACCGTGTTTGTATATTCTGCATGTTTCATCCAGAAATTTTACTAGTTACTTTTTATTAAACGACCGTGAGCTTACTTTCCTGAATATTTCATGCAAGCCTCCACCAGTTTATGACGTCCACATCAACAATATTTTATCTCTTATTAATACTGCTTTAAATGTAAATACTCAATAGATAGTTACTGATGCATTAAATAACTGTTAGGCTAGTCAGATCATTACCTATCGGTGAATAAAATCCTTTCACTAATTATGGCAAGACCTCCAGTAAATGCATAATCTCTCCTACGTCTCATAGTAATCGTAAATGATCGGAATCATTTGCAACAGACCATACCTCAAAGGAACTTAGACATACAAACCAATCCCCCTCTTAAACTGATCAACAAAGTGGTATGTATAGGTGATCCATAAACTCTACTATGACTTCCCATCATCGTTTAGCATGATTCTTATCAGCATAAATACATCAAATTATAGCTAATGATGTGGCCCCAACTGTTCAAGTTTGCGAATTACATTCTAGTGATACTTGTAACCGCAAGCAGACAAACGTGTTTGTATCTAGCCGTTTTAACAATGTCCTTAAGACAGAAATAAACTCACTATCTAGTTGATCAGGAGCAGTATGGTCGTTCGCTTACACCAGATGTTTAATCAAAGTTGACGTAGATTGTTCCATTAATGGCACTAACTAGCTCGACATAAACGGAGAGTTTAATAATTGTAAGTATATAATCCGAACCCAGTACTTTGGGGTCCTGAAAATAATAAAGCATGATTCTGTAGCTAGTCGTGAGTAACAGGATAGCTTGACTTAGGCGATATTGTCTTGTTACACCGCGGCTATTTAGTCAACGCACCTGAGGACTCTAACTACATAATATTGTGCAAAGCTGGGATAGTCTACCATGTATCTTCAGAGGTATATAACAGACTCCAGTGCACGAGAAATACCTGATAGCAGTCTCAAGTCTGTACAAACATACCGTCACAAAATTGTATCCCTTCAAATAGCCTATGATTTTCTGAGAGATTACTTTAGGTAGACATATAAATTGTCCAACTATAAGAATTTTCATTTCTCTGGAACTACCGAAACAGACTACTTCATTAGTAGTCTTTCATCATTTGGTCAGACCCGAACGTTCAAAAAAGGAATATTCCCGAAAGGACCCTAAAATGACTTCGTACTAATAACTCAAGTTTCAGGTCCTTGAGAAGAACACGAAATAGTATTTCCGGGCACTAGAAGCAATCGTGACGCTAGTGCGGACAACCACAAAAATATTCCTGCCGAGCCTATATGGCCAGAACCTGACTAGCCTACTCAGAGTTATAGGAGATCTGTATAACTACACTAATAATCAAACACCACAGTTGTCTTTTAAGTTCAGCTTAAGTAGACTTGTCTGTTTCAACCTTCATCACTGTACTACCATAATTAACCGTTCTAAGAATATTCGTCAAACGCATTTTCTTCTTGATAATCCCATACCGACTCATCATAATAGGACGCCTATTAGAGCTAAGCTTAAATGCCACATGAACCAGTTGGTTGCTATACGCCATATAAGCACACCTCTTAAAATATAGGCTCCAACAATACCTTATACTTAAGTAAAGCAGTTCATAACCCTAATTACCACAAAATCAATAAACGCCACGAGACCCTATCTAGCTTTTATGATGGTTACCTTAAGCATTTTTACTATTACCATCTTCACATTTCGTACAAACAGTAATATAAAACTTTGCAGTCCTGTAGATAACCACTTCAGAATAGATTTGTCTGCTAGTCCTCCTAATGAAAAGTCATTATCTGGGTTCACCGGCCCTCTTTGGGACGTTGCAAATAATCGGTTATATTTGTTAGAATGCTTTCATTCAAAGAGAAACATTATAAGAGTAAATTTGAAATGATTCTATAGACCAACATCTTGTTTGATTTTTGGCCATACAGGTAACATGATCAGAGGAAGCTTAATGGCCTAGTCATTATTAGAGAGTACCACAGTGTGACTTTGAGTTACCTATGCGGACTTTCCAACACTATGAGTAATAAGATGATAAGCATTCGCGCGAATGCGTTAAATCCGGCAAGGTTTGTGAGTCGTGAAAAAGGGCAACATTCAGATCGTGTTTCTCCATAAGTTGTGACGGTTGCTGATATTCTGTAATACGAGATCCAGTTCTCAACCGGAGATTCCGCTACATTCTCAGCTGAAATGTCTTTTAGCGATGCCACCACAGAGCGTCATGTAAATCGGTTAGTCGAGGTAAAAATATATCTGAAACCGATTGAAAGAGGTATTATTCTGACTGTATTGGTGTGTATATGTTTCAGTATTGCCTTACGGTGGGGGAATGGCTCTAA